CCTAGCATGCATGAAGCCCTGGGTCCAGTTCCTCAGTACCACATACATAGAAAAAGTTAGAAGTGGCGCTGTGGCTCAAGTGATGGTGTGCTAACCTTGAACAAAAAGCTGCTCAGGAGGCTGGGAAGGTGGCTCAGTGGTAGAGCACTTGCCTTGCATGCCCCAGGCCTTGGGTTCGATTCCTCAGCACCACAGAAGCAAAAAGAAAAAAGCCAGAAGTGGCGCTGTGGCTCAAGTGGTAGAGTGCTAGCCTTGAGCTGAAGAGCTGAGGGACAGCTCCCAGGCCAAGAGTTCAGGCCTCACGACCAACCCAAAAAAAATTTAAAAAAAGTCTGCTCAGGGACAGTGCCCAGTCCTGAGTTCAAGCCCTAGGACTGGCAAAAATCAGCTGGGCACTAATGACTCACGCCTGTAATCCTAGCTATTCAGAAGGCTGAGATCTGAGGATCCTGGTTTGAAGCCAGGCTGGCAGGAAAATTCATGAGACTCATTCCAGTTGAGACCCCCCGCCCCACCACTCCTCCCCCAAAAAGCCAGAAGTAGAGCTGTAAGTCAAGTGATAGAGTGCTAGCCTTAAATATAAAAGCTCAGGATAGTGCCCAGGCCTTGAGTTCAAGGTTCAGCACTAGCACTAGGAAAAAAATAAAAAAGTACATCTAGTGCCCTTCAATATTAGATAAATGGATAAAAGAAAAGGTACTTTTTACGCAGTTGTCATATGCAGGGAAATGGATGGACCTAAAACAAATCATGTTAAGTGAGGTAAGCTAAGCTCAGAGCTGGCTCATGCTTCCTCTCATAGGGGAAAGCTAGATCTGAAATACGCTGGGCATGATAAACTATATAGGACAAACAGTGAGACTAAAGCAGAATACTCCGAGGCTAGGTACCCAAGGCACAACGCTTTTTTGTTGGTAGTGGTGGTGTTTGTTTTTGCTTTTGCTTTTATTTGTTCTTTTTCTTATCTTTTGGGGAGGTAAGGAGGGACATAGAAGGATGAACAAATGCAAGCATGGTACTCAGTAGACAGTGGAAAATGAGCTCTACAAGAATTGGAGGGGGGTGTGGGGGGAGGCTGGGAAGAGATGGGAAACAAAGGAGGAGGCTACAATGCTTGATAAGAAATGTACTCATTATTTTGCCCAACTAATTGTAACCCCTCT